TTCTACTTCTTGCTCTACACATTGGGCTACTCTGATTTGGATTCTTCGCTATCTTCGCAGTACTATCTTTCAAGGCTTACTCTTATCTTCTGCTTCTTCCTTGGACTCGGTGGCCTATGCTGATACTGATTGGGTTGGTGATGTTAATGATTGCAAGTCTACTTTTGATTTTTGTATGTTTCTTGGCTTCCCTGATTTCTTGGAAAAGCAAGAAACAAACTGTTATTACCTGTTCTACTGCTGAAGCTAAGTATCGTGTTATGGCTCATGCTATTGCTGAAATTATCTGGCTTCGTAGTCTCTTCGATGCAAGTGCACAAGATAGTGCGATGCAAATGCACAAGATAATGCGATATAAGGTGCACAAGACAGTGCGATGTAGAATGAATGCACAAGATAATGCGATGCAAGTGCACAAGATAGTGCGATACAAGGTGCATGAGATAGTGCGATATGGGTGCACAAGACAGTGCGATGTAGAATGAATGCACAAGATAATGCGATGCAAGTGCACAAGATAGTGCGATACAAGGTGCATGAGATAGTGCGATATGGGTGCACAAGACAGTGCGATGTAGAATGAATGCACAAGATAATGCGATGCAAGTGCACAAGATAGTGCGATGCAAATGCACAAGATAATGCGATATAAGGTGCACAAGACAGTGCGATGTAGAATGAATGCACAAGATAATGCGATGCAAGTGCACAAGATAGTGCGATGCAAATGCACAAGATAGTGCGATATGGGTACACAAGACATTGTGATGCAAATACACAAGACAGTGCGATGTGGGGTACATAAGATAGTGCGATGTGGGTGCACAAGATAGTGCATCATGTGTAGAGTGAAATGAGCAATACGTAGAGTAGTGCATCATGTACCTTATGAAATGAATACAGAGCAACTTGCAATAACTTATTGAAATATAACTGAAAAACACCAAAGGAGGCAACTCGACGACACTCTGTTATTACAAGTACAGAATAAAGTCAAGAGCAAGAACAACCAATCATGCAGTTCAAATCAACTAGAGTGTATACGCATGCATGAATAATCCAAAGCACATGTATAAATCAGTATTTAAAACAGAGGATGAAGAACAAGAGAGTAAAAGAATAGGTAATAAAAAGAGTTCAAAGACCAACCTCTTGAAAAGAGAAAGAGCTTATTGATTCACAAACTTCAATCCAAACACTCTCAAGTATTTGAAATCAGTATCAAAACTTCAGCCAAAGGCTTCAAATTCAAGCTTCAATGGTGCATCTATATTCAAGAGGTTAGAGAATGCTTTGTATGCCTTTGGAAATGCTTGCTCACTAAGTTCTCTCACCCTAAACTTAGAGGGGAGGTGCTGTATTTATAGAATTTTAGCTTCTCACATCGGAAATATCTTCAAACCAAATCCCGTGCATGGGAGCAGCCTATTGTTGCAGAAATATCTGCTTCGCTAAACATGGTCGGCCGTGCATGGGAGCAGCCTGCTGTTGCAGAAATGTCTGCTTCGCTAAACATGGCCGGCCGGCCCAAAAATGTGGCCCGCCGATCAACTTTTGGTCTTGTTGCTCTTTGAGTGGTCAGGCTAGAAAAATAAGTTTTGGTCCAAATGGGGTACAAGGTTTGGGTTTGAAGCTCAAAACCGAATTCTTTTGCTGAAGATTCAAAAGATTGCACAGCTTAACATTTCATCATCGAGTGTTTAGAATGAAACGCCCAAGTCTTAAGGGCAGTCGAAATAGAGTGTCTACACCTAGTGTTGTTAAAAGAGCGCCTAGGCGCAAGGCACATCGAGGTGAAGGGGGTGCGCCTGAAGGGGACCAAGGCAAGGCACATTTAATGAGTCGGGCGCCTTGGACGCGACTTAGACCAGGCGCAGCGAGGCTCAAGGCGCGAGCCGAAGGAGCTTTTTGGTTTCTTCTTCATTCTGATCTACAGCTGTGATCTGTGTGGGAGAGGCTCCAACCACACAGGATTACAACTCATACAATACAACACAACCCAACCCAACCCAAATCAATATACGACTCAAATCCCTAATCTATCGAAGAAGAAATCTGTGACATCTCTTCTTCTATCGACTTCGACTTCGACTTTGACTGGGCTCCTCTCTCAACTTCGAATCCCTACTCCCAGGTTAGTGCTTCTTCTTCTTCTTCTTCTTCTTCTTCGACTGGTTTTTTTTTTCCCTTCCTTTTTTCTTCTTCGTTGGTTGTTTTTTCTTCACTGTGTCGTCTCTTCCTTTTCTTCTTCTCCTCCTCCTCCTTTCCCTTCTTCGCTGTGTCGACTTGCTCTGTTTTTTTATTTTGCTTCTTCAACTTCGACTCTCTCTCTCTCTCTTTTCTTGCTTCGACTTTGATTGTCTCTCTCTCTTCTTCTTTTTTATTTTATTTTATTTTACTTTAATTATAAAATCTATGAGTATCTCCTTTTTTAATTAAGCTAACTTATGTATTTATTGTGGATGTTGTCCCTCTACTTTATAATTGTTTCAGTTGTTTCTTTTGTGTATACTTGTTACCCGAACTTAGATTAACATTTTGTTTTAAAATTTTATTTTATTTTTTTTGTGATGGTTAATGTACTAAACAAATGATAACTTCAATTTGCCAAATTTTTGGTGAAAGAGTAGAACGGAGTCTATTCTTATGCTTGTCTTGTTTTTTTTTTCCCTTCTTTTTTTCAATTATGCCTTTGTTTTGAGATGAGTCTCTGTTAAAAAAAATACAAATAATTAATTCATCACATCACACATTACATTATATTGATTACTTTTTATTTTATAATTTGTCTTGATTACTTTTTATTTTAAAAAAATTATCTAAGTACTGTGAATGATTGGTCTATGTTAATTTATCTATTTTTTACTAAGACTGTGCGCCTTGCTTCAATACAGCCCGCACCTCGCCTTGCGCCTAAGCCCTAAGAGACCTTCAGCGCCTTCATGTGTCTTGAGCCTTTAAAAACACTGTCTACACCTGGCCTTCCACATTTCTCTAGACAAGTTTGTCCACTTCGACATGCTCTGCATGGTTTGAAGTAATCTCCTCATGCTTGGTATGATCGCTTTCAGACAATTGTTACTGAGCTTAGATTTCATCCTTGTGTCTATGACTCCGCCGTGTTTCTCCTCCACACCTCTACTGGTTTTGTTGCCCTCTTACTGTACGTGGATAATATAATCATTACTGGTTCCGACTCTTCTGCTATCTTTGAGGTCAAACAGCATCTCTTACGCACCTTCGAAATAAAGGATTTGGGCTCATTGCGGTATTTTCTTGGTATTGAGGTAACTTCTTCTCCCAATGACTACTTCTTGTCTTAGGCCAAATATGCCAACGGGGTTATTCATCGTGCCAGTCTTACTAATACTAAGCTTTCTGATACCCCCATTGAGCTTAATGTGTAGCTCAACACTACTGATGGTGTTCCTCTGGAAGATCCTACTTTATATCAAGTGCTTGTGGGTTGCTTAGTCTATCTGATAGTTACTCGCCCTGATCTTGCTTATGCTGTCCATGTGGTTAGTCAATTCATTTCTACTTCTTGCTCTACACATTGGCTACTCTGATTTGGATTCTTCGCTATCTTCGCGGTACTATCTTTTAAGGCTTACTCTTATCTTCTGCTTCTTCCTTGGACTCGGTGGCCTATGCTGATACTGATTGGGTTGGTGATGTTAATGATTGCAAGTCCACTTTTGGTTTTTGTATGTTTCTTGGCTTCCCTAATTTATTGGAAAAGCAAGAAACAAACTATTATTACCTGTTCTACTGCTGAAGCTAAATATCGTGTTATGGCTCATGCTATTGCTGAAATTATCTGGCTTCGTAGTCTCTTATCTGACTTAGGCATCCCTTAGTCTTCTCCGACCTCTCTTTATTGTGACAACCGAAGTGCTATTCAGATTGCCCATAACACTGTTTTTTATGAACGAACGAAACACATTGAGATTGATTGTCACTTCGTCCGCCAGCATCTGCAATCTAGCTCTATCTTGCTTCCGTTTGTCACTTCGACTCTGCAACTTACTGACTTCTTTACCAATACTCACACCATTGCTTGGTTTTTTTTTTTTTTTGTGACAAACTCTCAGTATTTTCTGCTAAAACACCTTGAGTTTGAGCCGGAGTGTGAGAATATATTTGCCTATATTGTCTATTATTTTAGAAATTATTCATCTTGCTTTCATTTTTCAAAAAATACTTTTTAAAAAATTCTACTTTCTTATTTTTCGTGTTTTTTTGTTTTTACTAAGTTTTTTTAATAGTTTAAGCAATTTTTTTATTTTTTAGACACACCTAATATAAATACACCTAAAAAGTAAAAAAAATGTAAAAAAAACCTTTTAAAAATTCACTAAATACCAAAAATACAAAAAAAAAATACAAGAATTCAGTACATTTTTTGTATTTCTATGTATTTATTAATTTTTTAAAAATATTTTTTCACAAATATTTTACTTTTTAGATACATCTAACTAAGGTGCATCTAAAAAAGTAAAAAAAATGTTTAAAATTCAAAAAATATTCACTAAAAACAAAAGAATACGAAAACAAAAAAAACTCAGTTTTCAAAAAACTTAATCTAGAAAACTCAAACCAAACACACTGATTGTATTTTAGGAATTTTGAATGGTTGTAATTATGTAAATATTCTGTGTAATTTGTATTTCCTTTTTAGGCTTAGAGATTAGAATTCTATATAAGTGATGTACTCTTTATATCAATTATTCAGTTGAATATACAGAAATATTCAAAAACTTACACATGCATGATGTTCATGAGTCCATTGCATGGACCATGACTACTAGTAAATACATTTTTATGAGGTGGAAACAAAATTAATAGAAGTTGTCTTTGGTTATGTTTTTACTTTTTTGAAAGTCTTCCATGCTCTTGTTAAAAGTTTTGTAGATATAAATTATAACCAAGATATTAGGAAGGGAAATAAATATCCCCAAACTAAGAACAAAAATTTACAACTTATAATAATTGCGCACCTGCATGATTTTGCGAGTTAAAGTGACAGTCATGCCACTTTGTATTAACATGTCTGACAAAACACCAGCTAAGTAGCCTACCAATGCCATCATACTCCATGGAACAGCACTAAACCAAGCTGCTTGTCTGAGGTCAACATGATATATCTAGAACAAAGAGAAATGCATTTCATCTCTCTCATAAAATCAGTACACTTGTTGAGTATGTGATAAATTGCTGATAAACTACAACTTCTAGGCTAGCTATGGCCTTACTGTTTTAAAATATATAGGCATCCATGAAAGAATAACAAAGAATCCCTGTATGAAGAAGGAAAGAATATCAGTACCCAAAAAATCATATAATCTACACAATGAAAGATATGTACACAAGCATTCAAATACTTTAGACACCTAATCACACAATTGTATTGGGTATATATTCACAAATTAAATTAGTGGCTTGTAGGGTTCCTTCTTAGTATATCATTCTTCCTTAGTTAAGCTGTACCAAATCAACTTTGGGTAAGTTTAGAGTCAACAGACATAGAACACTCATAGAAGAAGAAGAAGAAAATTGAACGTAATAGCATCATGGAAGGGCAACACAATCATCAAGCATCGTAATTGAGAACCTCAAGAAAATAATTGTTAGAAAAAATTAAGCAGAGCCATGGGTGCATTACCCAGCTATGCATGGAATTTGCAACAATTAGGGACCATGTTGGCAGCTTAGAAAGCAAGCGCCTAAAAGGAGGAATCATTTTTGCGGTCTTCAATTTATTATCCATCACAAAGGACTTTTGCCTATTGCTTTGTATGTACTCCAACTCGTAACTTGATATTTGGCGGCTTCGATCAGGAGTGCTTGATGTTGCAGATAGCCATACCAGAACCCAAAAAAATCCAAACAATCCGAATATCACAAATGGTCCAAATACACCGCCCTGTGACATAAGGATTGGAGAAAGTATGAGTCCAACAGCACTTCCAAGCTGAAATCCAGCCATTGCAAGACCAACAGCCCTCGATCGTTCTGTTTGAGGAAACCATCTAAAAGAAAAGGTCGAAACAATAACTGCTCAACATGTTATCTTCACCAATTTTTTTTAACTATATGAGAAGTGAATCTTTACATCAGTATCATTGAAAAGGGAACTTCTAGAAATTCAATACCTTGCGATCATATTGTTCATGCAAGGAAGAGCCACGCCTTCTGCAACGCCAAGCAAAACTCGCATAGCAAGTAATGCCCATAAAGAAGTTTCTGCAGCCCAAGGAGTAAGAAAGGTGGCCAGTGACCATAAAGCCACACCCCATGCCATGACTACCTTACCGCCATAATAGTCCACAAGTGTCCCCCCAGCAATTGGTGATATCATGTAACCCCAGAGAAAGGATGACTGCCATTATTGACTTGTAATGAATACTAAGAAGCAATAGACATCAAGCGATACCATTGTAACAAAAATGATTAGGCAAATTTATAGAACACACTGTGGGTTCAAAAATTCCAGAGATTAACTTCACTAAAGCCTAAAACAACAGCATAAGCAAGTGTAAATGAGGAAAACAATTGTTCAAATATTTTTTTTTTTCTTGTACTAATTTCAATCGTCGTATTCTTCCTATGGAAAATAAATAAATAAACTTTATTGCAAAGTGAAGACAGTATAATTATCAAAGTAATTGAAAAGATAAAAATACAAACAAGCTAAACTATCAATAAGTCACTAAAAATTAATAATTAGTGATATTTTTAATAATATTTGATAAAAAAAACACCATTAATTCTTATAGAACCAATAAATTCACCTATTAAAATCTGTGCATAAACAATCCACACGATTTAAAGCCCAATAAATCAAAACGAACAAAGATTTTCTCATGCTGTGTTTGGGATTTGGGTGAGAATTTGAAAAGAGAAAATGAAAGGCACAAGGTACATCGAAACTATATTTCACACACCTTTTCATTTTTCTTTTTCCCTTTTTCTTTTCAAATCATTACACAAATCTATGAACCAAACAGTAGAGGAAACCTGGACAACGCCGGCGAAAGATTGACGCCAGCCGTTGGCAAGTGAGAGAGGAACAATGGCGACCGACATAACAACTCGATCCGCATTACAGAGTGCCAAAGCCAAGGCAATCATCGCCACCACCTTCATTCTCTCCGAACTGACGAAATCGAAGAAACTCGGCTCCTTCACCACTTGTTCTTCTTCTTCTTCTTCTTCTTCTTGTTCATCTCCGGCGAAGAACTGAGCATCTCTCGCAGAATCCCCAAGTCGAACCAGTGTGAGATTGCTAGTTTTACAAGCGCCATGTGAAAGTGCGATTCGCGAATAAGAAGATGAGGATGATCGATTGAAGAAGAGTGTGGAGTTTGATGGGTGGGGATTGAAGGGTTTAGGATTTTGAAAGGTCGTCGGAGACGAGGAGGAAGGACAACGGAGGAATGATCGAGTGAGAGTGAGTGATATATTCATGCTGTGGAATAAAGAAGAGTAACGAGATGCTGGTCATTTTACAAAGGAAACTGTAGATTCGCGTGCTGGCTCAATTGTGCTTATCTTAACTTAACTAATGCCTCCTTTCTTGGGAAGGAAATTATTTAATAATCTTACTATTCTTATCTCTCTAATATAAATTGTGGCTCTTTCTCTTTTTTATCAATCAAATTTTATAGTGTATGACATATTCATATTCCAATTTTTGAAACACAATTTTTCAGTGAATTTTTTTTTTAATTTTTTATTTTTAACTAAAACATGAAATGAAAAAAATTAATATTTTGAGTTTATTTTTTTATTTTTTATAAAAATATATTTTTTTATAAAAAAAAGGAATAAAAAAGAGAAAATTGCAAATCGATGGTAAGACTTTAAAAAAAATTGTAAAATCATGAAAATTTTTATCACTTCAATAATTAAAATAGGTCAACTTTCTTGACCCAAAAAAAAAGAAAGAAAGGTTGGTCAACTTTACCACTGATTTGCAATTCATTTAGAAATCTACATAAATTGCAATTTTTCCAATAAAAATATTGCTTGTTTTTGGTTTTTTAAAAATACGTTTTAAAAAATTTTACTTTATTGTTTTTCGTATTTTTTATTTTTACTGAAATTTTAAAATATTTTAAGCAATTTTTTTAATTTTTAGACATATCTAACATAAATACACTTAAAAAGTATAATTTTTGTGAAAAAAATCTTTTAAAAATTCACTAAATACCAAAAATATAAAAAATATAAAAAATGAGACTTCAGTATATTTTTCGTATTTTATGTATTTATTAATTTTTAAAATTTTTTTTACTTTTTAAATATATCTAAGTAAGATGCATCTAAAAAAGTAAAACAATACTTAAAATTTTAAAAGTATTCACTAAAATAAAAAAATACGAAAAAAAAACTCAATTTTTAAAACCTTAACCCAAAAAACTCAAACCAAACACAATAATTTTTTGACATACTCGTTTGGGAACAACCTATTTTAAATTTTTTTTAATTTTTTATGAAAAGATGTGTAAAAAATAAAGAGAGTCAGTGATTTTTTGGATTAAAATATATAGTTGACAAACGAAGTAATTTTTTAATTTTTAAACTAAAATTAAGCATTGCCAAACGAGGCAATGAAAAAATTAGAGGACTTCACCACAAAAAAAAAAAAATCAAAAATTTTAAATTTTGTCAATTTAAATTTTTTATTTATTTTTAATCTAAATCATTTGTTTTAAGTGAAACTAATCAAAAAATAGTATTTTAGTTATTAAACTCAGCAAAAAAGAGTATTTTAAACATTTTATGTACTTACATTGAGTTTTATGACTAAAATATTTTTTTTTAAGTCCATTTTACTCAATTAAAATAGATTGATTGTTTGAATTGAGAACAAATCAAAAAATTATAGTTTAAATTGACAAAATTAAAAATCAAAATTTATCTTTGTACAATAGTCAAATTCTAAAATTTATTTATAATTTGCCCAAACAAATATATATGTATTTGATACCTATATAAAAAAAAATAAATGTACAAAAATGTTAGGAAGCATAAATAATTCATGAAAAATTATTCTTAAATATATTAACTTTTTGCATATTATAAAAATGACTTAAAATCACTAAAAGGTCAATTTTCAAACTAGTCTAAAGATACGTTTGAAAGTAAGATTTTTAGTTAAAAAATTACTTAGAAATGTCAAAAAATCAAAAAATTATATAAGAAAGTTAAATATTCATTTTAATTCTTTATTTTTCATAAAAATTTAGCAACTCATTCTTTTAAACATTTTAATTTTTTTCACCTCATATTTTAATTAAATTTATTTTCCAAACGAGTCTCTAAGAAGAATTATTATTTTTTTGAGTGGCCTCCTCCTCTTGCCATCAACTACAAATTTTTAACCTATATACCAAATTATTTGTTTAAATTTTAGGATTTTGTTTAGATACGTTCAAATGTTAAGATCTTAAAAACCCTTAATAATGTGTTTTTTATTTTTATTTTTATTTTTATTTTTAAAATTTTGAGTACAAAGTTACAAATATAAAATTTCCAAATTGTTTTGATTTTTGTATAATTCTTCCAAGTTATTTTGTTAGGCCTCCAATTACAATTACACACCTAACATGATTGTGATGGGTTACGTAAAGAAACAAAATTCCATTCCATAATGCAATCATATTTTATTTTATGAAAAGTGACTTTCCATGTTACAATATTAAAATTTAAATATGCACAACCCAATTATTGTGATGGTGAAATATTGGCATGTAAAACGTTGTGTTCTATTTTGTGTCAAAGCTAAAAATTCTCAATAATTTTTTTGTAAATTTATTTTTAATTGTGTAATATTTTTCAGGTGAAATTATAATCGTGCAAAATTTGACAAAACATCTTCTATTTGATTTAGTTTTATAATCATGATTTGAGCGGGGGGTTGTATTTTGACTTTTGAGTTGTATTTTAAGTTTTGAAAAGAGAAAATTTATTTGGCTATGAGTTTTGAAAAGAGTTTTAAGTTTGAAAAAGAGTTTTAAGTTATATTTAAAAAAAAAAATGAATTTATTTTTTTAAATATTTAAAAATGTTTAAGAAAATTTAATTTTTTTTTATTTTAAATATATAACTTTTATTTTCAATATTTTATTTTTTAAAATATTATAATTTTTAAAAATTTTGAATCACCCATGTATATCAAATCATAACAAATTATTTGGCCAATATTTAAACAAATGGAAAATTAATAAAACATCTCTCTTTAATTTTGTGTAGTATGAGAGGTCCAAGATACATTTTTTTATTAGTTAAGGTCCCTCAATATTTTTCACAGAGAAAATTCGATTTAGAGAAATTTTGTCCCACTTGGAGAAATTTCGCCCGACTTAGAAAAATTTCAGACCCAACTTAGAAAAATTTCAAATCCGACTCAGAGAAATTTCTTTGAGTCGGACTAAATTTCTCTAAGTTGGATTTTCTCTGTGAAAATGTTGAGGAACCTTAACTATTATGAAAATATTATATATCATTTATCTTATAAAATCTTAATATTATGAACCTTAAAAAATTAACGAAATATTGTTTTTGAAAAATATAAAAAATAAAGAATAATTGTCTTCAAAAATAAAAATAAACAAAATATTTTTTGAAAAAAATATAAAATATAAAATAATTTTAAAGAACAAAATAAATTTTCTTTTTAATTTTTTTTTTGTTTATAAAGTAGAGTTTTGAATTGTATATTTAGTTATGAATTTTAAAAAGAATTATGATTTTTTTTTATTAGAGTCATGATTCTAAAAGAGAACCAAATGCAACTTTCTATCTCTCTTATGATGGTATCTGTATTTTATTTTATTTTTTATGTAAAAAATAAAATAAAATGATATTTATTGCATTTAAGAAAAATTACCAAATTATTATATTTTAACACTATAGCATGCCAAAAATTAATTTTTCGACATTGCTATTTTGATATCAACTATTAGAAGAAATGCTCATGCAATTCCTAGAGTTGGGCTGGGTTTGGCCTTCCAAGAACAGGACTGTTTTTAAAAATGAAAAAAGAGTGATGGTTATGTCTTCAAGCTTGGGAAAATTATAGTGAGCTTGATATTATTTACTATTTACTAGCTCTTATTTTAAGTGTGATTGAAAAATACTAGGACAGTTGAAAAGTCTGAAAACCTAGACTGTACACCTAGAATTTTCTGGTTGGATAATCGTGTAGCAGAGATTAATTTGTGTAATGTAAGATTCATGTGAGATCCATGAGAGGTGTGGTGAAAATTAAATTCCGAATAATTTTTGAATTGATAAGAATGAGTATGTAATATTACTCATATCTGTTTAATAAGTGATGAATCATATAAAAAATACATTAGAATCGCAACTATTTAGGAAAAATTACTCAATATTCTCGGAACACCACTCCAAACCAATCACTAATTATTTAGCCCCATATTGTTCTCCCATCCCTAACATAAATCGTGGGCTCTTATTATGTCTCTCCACCAATCAAAACCTTATGGAGTACCACGTGTCCATACTCCGGGAATACTGAATAATCACCCACTATTTAGACATTTTTCCATCTTAACAACCCTTTTGGGTTTGTTATTAGCATGACCGTTATAAGTGAAAAATGTCCATGTCTTCCTCCAAGTTAAGGAATATACAGTCCACCCTATTATGGGATCAACCTAAAACGCAATCACTTTTTGCAAGCTTATAGGGTATGGACATACTAATGCCGTCCTTTCGATTTGTTTAGACACCAAAATCTATCATATTTATGTTAATATTTACGACACAACATAAAAACATGACTACTTGTGATTGGTAAAAGGTATCTAATGATATTACTTCGTGGTGTACCCAACTGGCATGCAATATTTTTTTCCTAAAACAGTGCATCTTGGGCTCTCCTCCCCTGATTTTTTATGTTTAGCAAGCGCTAGCACAAAGCATTTAAGCATACATATCTCATCAAAAATATTATATATAATGGCTGTATGAAAGAAACTAGGCAAGAAATCCACAACAGTGACAGGCCCTAAAGATATATAATTTTCTGGTGTGGTGTTTTAAATTCTACATTCAACAGATTGAAACAGGGTTAGAGTTTGCTTGCATGTTTACCAAACAAAGAATGACGGCCTTCAGCAACAACCTCCCCGGTTGCTTTATTTCTTATAAGAACAATAGTTCCAAAATAACCTCCTCTTTGGCCTAAAACTCTCGAGGTAATCTCCAACTCATCCTGCAAATGCAACACCCAGAGACGTATAGATGTGATACCTAGAAATGCATAAAACCAAATCCTTGGATAACAAATATTCATGATGTGAAACTAGAAAGAGAATACCAACATACTGGTGTGAACTTTGTTTCACATGCAGTAGCAGCAACATTACATACATATAACTGTCATCATGCTAGTTAATATTTGGGGACATCTTTTATTGAAACTATTTTGCAAATTTGAAGTTGTAATCCATACATAATTAATATTGTTGAAAGGACTTCAATAGATATTTGTCCAATTCCATAACAAAATAAAATGGTATCAAAAAAATTCAAGCTTTAAAAAGAGCATACGTTGGTAAAAAAAAAAATCAAAATGTATGTGTTGGAGAACAAGAAAAATATCTTTAGAAGAAATGCGTGATGGAGCACGATTCAACCTTTTAAAGAAGCAATCAACAAAATAGAAATCTTGTTAGTATATGTTAGTATCGATACCAGTAAATACAGAAACTCTTGTAAATAACAAAATCATTAGGGTCCATCTGGATTGGGTGATTCAGAGAAAAGAACAGAAGATGGACTCACTCCTCCCTAATCGCCAGTTTGGATAGTTTGAGAAAAAAAATAAGGAAAAATGGAGAGAAACGAGAATCCCTTATGACCCATTGTTCTGAATCTCACAAAAAATAAAAGATCTGGAGAGAGAGGGAATGAGAGTTAGTAATAATCACCAATCTTGTTATTCATTTTTAGTGATAAGAAGCTCGCTTTTGTCCTCCTTATTTACATAATACAACTTTCTTTTCTTTTCTCTTCTCATCTTTCCCAAACAAGAGAGGAGAATACAAACTCTTTTCTGTCCAATATTATCCAAATAAAAAGGAAAGATATCACTTTAATTTCTTTCATTATTTTTCTCCCCTACCTAATCCTTTCTTCTCTCCCCTAGTTTCCAACAAACAATTCATGTTGGGTCAAATCTGTTTGGTCAGAAAAAAGAAGAAATTATCGTAATCTCTCATCTAGGATGAGAAAAGAAAATAAATGATTGTGTTTTCTTACCACCATGTTTAGATGAATAAGAAAGCAAAGCATGTAGAGAGGTATACGAGTGAGATTTCCTTTCATTCATTTGTATTTTAAGGGACAATCTTGGTATTATAAATATTTTATAATCAATCAACTTGTTTCTCACAAAATCTCACCACTTTTGATGAGAAATGAAAGCCCCATTTGGGGAGTTAAGTTTGTACTCAAAAAGTTAATATAAGTTGTTACATCACTCTCTCTACTTTTTGCACATATTTTCATAAAAATCAAAAAATCAACTAAAATAGCCAATTCTTAAATTAAAAATGGTTAAGACCCCCTTTCCCCCACCCCCTTTGACCTCCTCTTTTTCCTGATTGGCCAATTTTTTTTTTTTTTTTTCTCTTTTCCTCCAATCACCACCCGCCATGTGTGTATGGGGGGTGGTGGGGGTTGGTGATTGAGGAGGTCTCAATCACAACCGTTCTTAAATAGGCTTAGTAAAGCATCCCCAACAGATAACTTATTATCAATTTTTAGATATTTTAGGGAGTGAAAACTCTAAAAATCATCTGTAATAGATTCCCTAAAAAGTTCCTCAATTTAACAGATGCTACAATGACTAGCTATATGTGAAGAGTCACTGTTTATTCCATAAATATATAATATTAATTTCTTTCTCCTCCTTTTTCTCTTTACTCTCTCTAGTCTAATTGTCACATCAATTTGTTTAAAAAATAATGAGTTGTTTGGGATGATATAAATAAGAAAAAATGCATGAGACCCCCAGTGGGGGTGCTGGGGGTCTCTTTTGATTGGCCAAAAACTGTTTTTTTTTTTTTTTTTTTTTTTTTTCTCTTTACTCTCTCTAGTCTAATTGTCACATCAATTTTTTTAAAAAATAATGAATTATTTGGAATGATTTAAATAAGTGCATTTACTATCTTTTTATGAAAATATTACAGAAAGTTAGAGAAGTGATGTGAAAAAAAAAAGATAAAAAGATGAATTATATAGGGGATGCCAAACCACCCCTAAGTTTAATTGAAAAGAATAATAAAATAATATTTAAATAAAGTAGAGAAAGAATAAGGAGTATGGTTGGAGAAAGTAATTGAAAAAGTGATTATCTAAAATAGAGAATGCACCTTTAAGTAAAATTTGAAGAAAATATGGGTAACATTGTTGGGATGCTCTAGGGAGCTCTCTTTCTCACCATTTCTCACTCAACTTACAAACCAAACATCAAAAAAAGTTCTCTCTCATAATTTCTTATCATTTATCACCAAATCACACCATCCAAACAGAGAGTAATAGTATGCAATTTAAGTAACGATGCTTGATGACATAATTTAATTGGGTTAAAGTTAAAACTAAGAACAATTGTGCAATAATGAAAAACACAAAATGTCAAAAATAGAGGATGCCAAACCACCCCTAAGTTTAATTGAAAAGAATAATAAAATAATATTTAAATAAAGTAGAGAAAGAATAAGGAGTATGGTTGGAAAAAGTATTGAAAAAGTGATTATCTAAAATAGAGAATGCACCTTTAAGTAAAATTTGAAGAAAATATGGGTAACATTGTTGGGATGCTCTAGGGAGCTCTCTTTCTCACCATTTCTCACTCAACTTACAAACCAAACATCAAAAAAAGTTCTCTCTCATAATTTCTTATCATTTATCACCAAATCACACCATCCAAACAGAGAGTAATAGTATGCAATTTAAGTAACGATGCTTGATGACATAATTTAATTGGGTTAAAGTTAAAACTAAGAACAATTGTGCAATAATGAAAAACACAAAATGTCAAAAATAATCCGAAACCATATTCATTCAAGCCAAATGCGGACTTACATCAAACTTGGCAGTAGAAAGGACGGAAATTGACATGTCAACGGAGACATTCATGGGAAGACCCTCAACATAGACCACAGCACCACCGACTTCATCAACCAGATTCGCAATAGCTCCCGTACACAACTTCCCACTTCTATCCTGGGTTCAAAACCCCAACCCAATCATCAAAAAAAAATTTAAAAAAAAAATCCAACAAAATTCACAAATCATATACAAGTACTAATTTACATGAATATGTATAGGGTTCATGATTAAGGCGAAATTGGACTAGATTTGCGACACAAATTGCACTAGTTTTCAGAGATGAATTGAAGGGAAATGAAAAATCAGACTTACGGTGTGGCGAGGAGGGACCTTGAAGGTGCAAGCAATGAAACCGGGATCGACTCGGTCAACTCGGATGCCCTTCACTGTAAAATCTTCGTAGAAGCTGGATTCGATGTTGACTTGGTGAGGAGGGACGTTGAGTCGGGAGACTAACTCAGATTCTTCATCGGTCAACTTCAATGACTCCCTCGCCTTCTCCATTTTCGAGCTCTCTCTCTCTCTACCTCCTCCCTCCTCGTTGGAGTATTAATCAATTCAAGAGGAATTATACTGTATGTTGGCGGAGCAGACACCAGCTGTGTGCCTTTAATACGAGAAGTTATTTTTTGATTTTTATATTAAATTAATTATAAAAAGAAAAAATAAATTAAAAAATTAATAAAATAAAATATCCCATTTAAATTATAATTATTTAATTTTTTCTTTTATAAAATTAAAAAAAAACCAACTTAAATGAACTTTTTAATTAGAATTAAAATAATTAAAAAGTTAACCCAATTTTCTAAATGAAGCCATAGTAAATAAGATAAATTTTTTTAAAAAATTATTATATATTATATTTTAAATGTCAAAAAAGTCAATCCAAATAAATTTTTTTATTAGAATTAAAATAATTAAAAAGTCAACCTAACTTCTGAAATGAAATCATAGTATATTAGACAAAATTAAAAAAATATATATATTATATAATATACTTCATTTGAGTGATAAGATTTTTTTTATTAAATTTTAAAATCTCAAGTTCAACTTAATTTTGTATAATATTATAAATTAAAATGTTTTACTTTATATAATAATATAGATTATGAGATTTGTGATGTAATTATCAATATCTCTTAAATATGTTTTTGTATTTTTTTTTTACATAGAAAAAAAGGGAATTTTAGAAATGCATTCGGAGAAATTATAAAAAATTCTTAAAATTTGATTCTTATAACAAAATAAAAGAAGACATTAATATTCAATAATTATAGATACGCCACACTAAATAATAAATAAAATATAATTAAAAATATTTTTGTGTGTTGCATGCCATTTTGGTTGAAACAAATTAAATTTTATGAGCTATTTTTCCATTCATCATGTAATTAATAAAAAAAATTCTACTTACCCCATATAAAAATACATATAAAAATAAGTAAAAGTGAATACGTCAAAAAAAAAAAAAATTCATTATCACTATCTTCACTATATTAAAAATTCATTATCCATTATGGAGGTCATTTCTGAATTTTGTGAAATCTCCGACCAAAAAATTAACCATCTTAAGTCTAAAATTTTTGTCTCTCCCAACATCCATAGAAATCTAGCTAAATCCCTTAGCTCTCACTGTGGCATTCCCCTTACCCAAGATCTTGGCAAGTATCTTGGCTCCCTCCTACTCCACTGCAGAATCTCCAAGAATATTTTCAATGATATCCTCACCAAAATGAAAACTAGACTGATTGGATGGAAGACTAAGTCCCTTAACTTGGTTGGTAGAACAACCTTTATCCAATCTATTACCTCAGTCATTCCCACTTATAACATGCAAACCATGGAGCTTCCTAGAAAGATTTGTGATGAGATTGACAAAATTAACTGTAATTTCTTTTGGGGTGATTCTGAGACTCATAAGAAAATCCATTTGGTCAACTGGGACAGTGTGTGTAAAAGTAAAACTGAGGGAGGTTTGGGTATCAAGAAAGCTAGATTACAAAATGCTGCATTGTTAACCAAGGTGGGATGGAAATTCCTGACTGAGAGCAACAGACTTTGATGTAAAGTGCTCCATTCTAAATACTTGAGTCATAATAGTTTTTACTCTTGGCCTCTGAAGAAAAGATCTTCTCACAATTGGAGGAGCATGTGTAAGTATAGAGATGCCCTGAAAAAAGGTGTCAAATGGACTGTGGGTAATGGGAAGGATATCTCTCTTTAGACAGATTGGTGGTGTGGTAAACTTCCTATTTCTCAGCTAAATCCTTCCTATCCTGTTAATGATTTTGACAAGGTTAGCTTACTCTTGGATGAAACAGGCAGGTGGGACTTTGACCAGATTTCCACTCTAATTCACCAGCAGGACCTTCAATCCATCCTCAATACTCCTAGGCTCTCCTTTGTCTCTTGTTTTGATACTCCTATCTAGACTGCTTCTTCTTGTGGTGCTTTCACTACTACTTCTGCTTATAAATTAATTTCTAATGATAACACTAACTTGACCGACAGGGACTGGAAATGGATGTGGAAAATTAAATTTCCCCAAAAACTAAAACATTTCCTTTGGCTAGTCTTGAAAGGACGACTTCTAACTAATCATTTGCGACTTGTGAGGAATATATCTCAATCAGATCTCTGCTCGAGATATGGACAATTCAGTGAAGACATGAACCACCTATTGTGCAGCTGCTCCATGTCCAAAGACATGTGGCTTCATCTCCAAAACACCAAGTGGTAGGATGAGGGAATTGATAAGCCTCTTGAGGAATGGGCTACTTGTAATTCTAAAAGCAAAATCCTGTACCAAGGACATAGATGGTCTCTTGTGTTTATTGTTTCTCTTTGGCAAATCTAGAAGAATCGGAACTCAATTGTTTTTGAAAATCAAAGCAACCCATTCCATAATAGTCTCAAAAAGATCACAGACCTTGTGGCTGAAATTGATGAGGCTTTTCAATCTCCTCTTCACCCACACTTCTCTCCTCCCAGACTAATTCATTGGTTTCATCCTCTTGCAAGCAAACTGAAATTAAATGTTAATGGGTGTTCCAAAGGTGATCCCGGCCAAGCAGGATATGGAGGCCTATTGCGTAATGAGACAGGAAGCTGGATATGAGGCTACTATGGCAAACTAGGCCATTGCTTAAGTTTGGAGGCTAAACTATGGGCCATCTACAGAGGCCTCACCATTCTCTTCCAGAAAGGCACTAGAGATGTGGTGATCGAATCTGATTCAGAACAAGCCATTAACCAACTTCAGGAAGGCCCAAATCCACACTCTCCTTACAAAGCCCTCATTGAAGATGCTAAGTTCTTACTAGATCGCTGCAACTGCTCTCTTGGTCATACACTGCGAGAGGGCAACAGAGAGTGTAACAACTCAAAAATTTAAGTTGTCTTTTAAATTTTATATTAGTATTATTTAATTATAAATGAGAAAAAAATCCTAAATGTTTAATTAAATATTTCGTAAGAGTAAAATAAAATATTAAATGTTACGGGTGTATGAGATAAAGTGTAATTAAATTAGGGATTATATATTATCGGAAAATATATATATATATATATAATTAGTTTAAGATTTGGGCCCAAATATAATTAAGCAACTATTTAAACTTATCCGGTGGAAGGATAAACTCAAATCTAAAGTGTAATAATAGTTGTGATATAGGAAGGCTATGTGGGGTGCCACGTGTTATCCCAAAACTTGTTGAGCAAGTGTTACACCGTAGTATATAAGGAGGCGTGGGGGCTATGAACGAGAAGAAGGAAAATAAACAAGGAAAGGGGACGAAAATACTATAAAAAAGGCTTTGATAGCAGAAATGAAGAGTGAGGTATTAATTTTAAGGTGAGTTATATTATGCCTTTAGTTACCATAATATATTTTACATATGTTTTGACTTACCATATTTATTTTTATACAAGTTATGTTTTATAAATTATATTAATATTTCCATTATGTGGATTATTTCCTGACCCCTATTTACTTAAAATGAAACCCATGGATATGTTTGTTTATATTTTAAAGAATATTTGACTATGACCTTATAAACAATTATGTTTTGTAAGTACCATTACGGGAGTCCTATGCTTTGGGGGACTTAAATAACCATTGGCCTCAATTTGACCACTTTGTAACCCTCTGTTGTCATGGATCCATTGACCTCTGTTCTGTGCGGAGCAAAGTGCTGTGCGGAGATAAGTGCTACACTATTGTGGGAACCACCTCTATAATCCGTACGAGTCACCTCTTGAATCCGTATCTCTGTTCTGACTGTCATTCCTGTGACCTCTATTCTGTTTTGTTCGGTACCGTAGTTATGGTTATTTATTATATAATCTCAGTTTTGCCTCTTAAATGATCATTTGTTTAGACTAAGTTATCTTAAATATTTTAGTTACATAACTATCCATGGTTATTTTGTATCCCTTATACTCTTGGTATAATATTTTTTACTTTGCCATGTGCTTATAGCTGTTTACCAATTTTCAGGAAACAATGCAATTCAGAAATAATTTTTGGAAAATCTTAGACGCGGGGCTACGGAATAGACACAAACAACACTTTATGATATTTTTATATGTAAATATCGGCATTTTTGGTCAATAAATTTTATAATAAAAATAGAAGCTCGGATGATTATTTTGGTACCCTAACTTAAATATTATTTCCGCTCGCGTTTATTTATTTGTTCAAGAATTGGCCGGAGGTAACTTTAGTTACTGACTATCACGATACTTAATCCTTGAGTACGGGAAGCGGGTCGTGACAAAGTGGCTGATAGATAAGCAAATCTGGGCGTTGCCCAAGATGAACACCTTGTTTTCCTTGAAACACTACCAGTAGAAACTAGTCCCCTGATTATCGAAGACATGATTGGTTGTAGTGTGATGAGAGACTAGTATCTCTCTGTTTTGTATCTATGACTATTTCCTTATTTTGCTTTAATTTCCCATGAATCAAAAAAAATAAAAATAAAAATAAATGACAACATGTGAATAGTCATTAGCATGATTCAATTGGTACCTTGGAATGAAGTTCAAATAAAATATATAATAATCTAACTTTGTGTTCTATTTATATCTTATTTGGTACATCTTATGTCACAAGAATATATATATATATATATATACACTAGTTTGAAAAGGTCAGTATAAGGCACAGACTACTATTACCACAAGTTTAAATTTTATATTTTGATATTTTTTTAAAAAACTTGGAATATTATTCTATAAAATTGAATAGAATAAATCATTAGATATATGATAGAATTATGTGATATGCCCTAATGATATATTCCTTCCAAATTTATAAAAAAAAATTATAGTGTGTAAGTTTTCTCAACAGATAAATATAAAACAAATGCTAAGATAATTTTCCTATCTAAAAAAAATATTAAGATAATTCACTGAACTGATAAAGAAGTAAAGAAAATATATACATATATATATACATATATACAAATGACTAATTTTATTAATACATAAATTATACTTTCATATTAAATGATCAATTTTATTAATAAATAAATCATTAATTAAATTAATAATTTTTAATGATATGAA